GTTTAATGCACATGTAGATTGTATTGCAATGGAGGAAAAATGATAGATCCTAGAACGCAGATACGACATAAACAACAAGTACTTTTGTATCAATCTGCACAAATAGAAATAATAGATAGCTCAATTAGTAATGCAGCTACAATGCCAATAACAGAAAGTAAAAAGAATGTTCAATTAAATAATAATGAAACAAGCTATTCTTCTAACTCATCTAGTTCATTAATTGATAAAAGACTAATTCATTCAAATATGGAACTAATTACTATCCCAAAGAAACAGAACGAGCTAAATTCAAAAAGACAAATACTGAGAAAAAATTTGAATCCTTGATTGAAGAAAGCCAGTACTCATCTAATAACAAGGAGAAATTAGAATATTTGATTAGCCAAACTCATTCTTCATCAAAAGTGAAGAGGATTCTTCGTCTTTTGATGAAGAGGATTTTTCATCTCTTGATGATGAACTTGAAACCTTGATTGATATTGAAGAAGTATGATCAGAAGATGATGAATGTGCCAATTTTAAATTAAAGAATGATAATATTAATAAAAACATAGTTTTCGACACTCCTTCAATATTGTTATGGATTCTAAAGTATCAGTATAGATTCTGTCTTCCAGAGATTGCTATCGAGTCATTAACAAAATTTATTAGAATAATTTTAGCTAATGCTAATTGGAATATGTTTAAAGATTTTCCAACAAGTGCCCGTATGGCAAGAAAATTATTGGGCATTATAAAACCGAAAAAAATATATGCAGTTTGCCCAAGCTGTCATATATTATACGATATTGCAAAAAATTTTGCAAGATCAAAACAATAAATCTACCTCATTCAGATGTACACATGTGGAATTTCTGAATCACCTGATGCATAGTTATCGAAAACTATGTAAAGCAGAATTAGTAAATAAGGTTTCAGTAGCTAAAGGGTTTATTAGAAGGCCCAAAATGATATTTCTAATGCTATCATTAAAAGCACAAATATGTACTATGTATCAGCATCCGGGTTTTAAAGCATTACTTCAAAAATGGTCAAATAGGAATAATAACACAAACTCGATTACTGATATTTATGATAGGGAGATATGGAAAACCTTTCTATCCTCTATTGACGATTCAAATTTTTCAACATTTTTTACACCAGAAACAGCTGATTCACATCTTGGTATCATGCTTAATATTGACTGGTTTCAGCCATTTAAGTCTTCTACTTATAGTTCTGGTGTAATTTATGGTATAGTATGTAATCTTCCACGAGAAATATGATTTAAACAAGAGAATATTATGCTTAGGACTGTTACCAAGACCTAATGAAGTAAAATTGCATAGAATAAATAATTATCTTTCTTCGATAGTAAATGAATTATTAGAGTTTTGGGAAGGATTCGATTTGCCCCCAAATAAGGTATATCTAACTGGTAAAAAAATAAGAATAGCAGTAATTTGCTGCTCTAATGATATTCCGGCTGGTAGAAAGTTGTGTGACCACATTTCAGCATTAACTAGCTGCCATCAGTGCTACAAAGTAGCTAATACTATAGATGGAAAATCCAATTTTAGTGGATTCGATGATATGGATACTTGGTTTGTCTAAAAAGATTTAACTGAACATTATCAAAATGCTGAAAAATGGAAAAATTGCAAATCAAATGATGAAAGAAAACGTTATATTTCCACTAAGTTCATTCGTTGGTCTGAAATGCTAAGATTGTCTTATTTTAACCCAATAAGGCACTTAGTAGTTGATCCAATGCACTGTCTTTTTTTGGATATAGCTCATTGGATAGTCAAAAAATTGTGGATTGACGGTGGTAAATTAACAAAGAGTGATCTTGAAAAGATAGAAGAACGAATAGAAACTATTAAAGTACCTACTGATTTAGGACGAGTTTCACACAGAGTTGCAACTAAAGAAGGGTTTTTGTGGTTCACTGCGGACCAATGAAAATCTTTTATACTTATTTATGCAACTCCAATTATGTGGAATATTCTGAATAAGTCTGATCGGGAAATATTGGCTAACTTTGTTAGAG